GGGGAGGGTAGCGGGGAACTTTGTTTTTTGCACACCAAATGTTGTTGATAATGCAGACTGTGATTTGCCGATAAGGACGCAGGGAACTTTTTTTTGGCACACCAACTGTCCCGGACTCCCGGTCTCGATGTTGAAAATGTGCAGACTATGATTTGCGGATAAGGAAGCAGCTGGAAGAAGAGGAGGAAAGGAAACGCCAACGTAAGGAGAGGAAGAAGGAGAAGAAGGTGCGTGGCTCGGTGACGAGGGTTGGGGGGGGGGGAGAGGATAGAAACCCTCTTACATACAAGACGTGTGCTGTTCCTTGAACGGCCTTTCTTGCATGATAATAATAATAATCTATAATAATGAATGCAGTCCCTTCATTGTTATCAAAAAAAGGAGAAGGAAAAGGGAGGAGAATAGGAAGCTATGTTGGATGTGTTTCCAGCAAGAGCTGGCGAACACACACAATGAAATGAGTGAAAGGAGGAGGAGGAGGAGCTATGTGGCTATGTGAGGCGCAGTATGAACTCCCTGGTGTCACAGGTGTGTGTTGCTTCCACAAACTGCCTTTCTTGTGTTAGTCTTTTGAGGAATACAGTCTCTTTATGAAGGAAAAGAAATGATACAGCCGAATACAGCTCTTTGATGAACACAGCTCAGCCGTATAATGCTGGGCTCACGATTTGGTCTGGAGGGATGGGAGTTTAGTTGTGCTGCAGTGCTGCAAACCCGCTAGGACCGGGGGTCCCTCCCCCAACCGGAACCGGACCGGTCCTAACGGCCGGTCCCCCCCCCCCACCAGGTTGGCTGTAGCCCATCTTGTTGTTGTTGTTGTTGTTGTTGTTGTTGTTGTTGTTGTTGTTGTTGTTGTTGTTTTCCCGAAATCCCAGGGTGTTGTAGAGGCCAAGGACTAGACCCACGGTGATCGTTGGCAGCGGCAGCCGGTGGTTGTCCTGACAGGATAGGCCACCTTCCCTACCCTTCCCAATGTTAATGCTCCCAGCACACCCCCTACCCTTACTATCCTACCTCAGTGTGACCAGCACTCAGGACCATCACCCTACCAGTATCGAGGGCAAATTGGACCATACAGCAGTGGCAAGCACCCCCTAACACTATCACCCCCACCCCCCTTTTCAAAGTTTTTTGGTGGGAAGTACCGCCCCTACCCTGCCACTAACCCCTTTCAAAGTTTTTGGGCGGAAGGTTAATGTTTGCAGAAAGCCAGGTACGTTGTTGTCAATGTCTGCTGAAGCTCGTGCTTTCTGAAACCACACCACTAACACACTCACCATAAAACCCCCAATCCCCGACCCCCAACCCC